GTGGCACGGGGTCCCCGCCGGGTTCCTCGCTCACGCCGCACGCGTGGCCGCGTTTTACCGGTCCCGGCGCGACGCGCTGTTGAAGGCCATGTCGGCCGTGCGGCTGGTCGAGGACGGTCTGGTGGAAATGAGTGTTCCGCAGGCGGGCATGTTCCTGTGGCTGAAACTCAAGACGGTTGACGACGCGTCGGCGCTGGTCAAGGGGTACGCGACGGATCGGAAGGTGTTGTTGTTGCCGGGCATCGAGTTCTTGCCGAATGCGCAACCGGGCGAGCCGTGTGCGTTTGTGCGCGCGACGTATTCGACGGCGACCGACGAGCAGATGCAGGAGGGGATGAAGCGGTTGCGCGAGTGTATTGATCTGGCGATGCGCGATCAGCAGAAGCAGAAGCAGCAGGCGCCGAAGAAGTAAGGATGCAACCTGTGGATGAGTTGCGGTTGCATTTTGTTTTGATTCGCGTCTCTCAATAGACACACAGTAACAACCGATCTTGCCACGTCAGCCAGCATTCTGCAGGTGCCCATTTGGGTTTATTGATTCGTAAAGTAAGGTAAGAGCGCAACACGAACAGAATGACAGAATGAGATAAACAACCAACGACACCAAGACTGTCCATCAATCAACGGACTTACGCGACGTCCTCCACTTTTACACGAGCAGAACCGACAGGACGCGTGCAATTTTCGCCATGTGCTTTGGCATGCGGCTCTTGACCGTCTTGAGCAGCGGAGCGCGCGTCCGGATCGTTTCATCCACTTCATGCGCATCGTGATGAATGACTGTCCTGCCGAACGTCGGCGACACCCATGGAGCGTTGCAAATCTTAAGCGTGATACCAAGAAGCTTGGGCGTGTGTGGCACGCCCAGACGCATCGCAATCAAGTGGTCAGGGACGACTCGAATCGCGATCTTCTCTAGCTCCGAAAACGTCGCATTATGATCAAGGTCGAAAAAGGCGGGTGTCGTCTCAATTTTTTTCAGTGACGGGAACACAATGTCGGTCGAATGCGAGGTTGTGTGCAGGACGCGCACCGGTGTATCACCAAGACTTGATTGGACTGGAGCAGACAGGTGGGCCAGGTGCGGGAGCGCGGCGAGTTGTTCCAACTGCACCAGCGACAGCGCGAGGTGGGTGTTCGATGTTCTCGCTCGCGGCCATGCGCACTGACTGCGACACGAGGTGCGCCAGACGCGCAAAGTGAGCAAACGATGAAATCGGTGAGGAGGCACGCAAGCAGCGTCAATTCGGTCACGGCCGGTGCAGACGCCGTTGCGTTGAGCCCTTCGCTCAGCGTGGGGAGAAGCTGCTCAAAGAACGGCAGCGGAACAGAGAGCGTGCGCAAGTTGGGCGGGAACTCGTTGGCGACGAGCGTCGTGATGGCAATCTCCTTGGGCCTATACCCCCCCGTACCCGCCAGAACAGCAGGACCCTCCATGACTGACAAATCCTCGTTCTGCGGCAAGTGTTCCATAAACCGGCGCCGCATTTCATGGTTCAAAAACACCAGCTTGCCCTCCAGAACGAGCGTCCGACACTTTGGCATGTTGAGAATGCCTGGAATCCCGGTCGAGTGAATGCCATGAATGGCCAACGCCGTAACGTGCAGTAACTTCGCATTCGCATCAGTGAGGTACGTCATGTCGACACGGCGCACACATTGGGACCACCAAAACGGGGAGTGGTGGCTCGTCCACCAGCGCACCAAACATCGAGGCATTCCAGTTGGTCCATGTCTACCAGCTGTGCGAGGACACATTCGGCCATGCTGCGTGGGATTACCAATAAATGGAGCTGCTGCAACCGCGACAAACGAGCAAGAATCGGCACGTTGGCACGGAGCGAGTTGAACAAGTCGGCAGTTTCCCACAATTCAGGCTCTAGTCGAACGGAAATCGATAGCGTTCGATAAAATGCTGCTGCGACTACAACGGCCGATTCGCAGCAGCGGTATCCTCTGGCAGCAGTACGTCCAGCTGGCCGGCAACCTTCGTGGACAAGCGAGCTGGATCAAATAGTTGGGCAAAACCGAGGTTGTGGACGGTTTGCCCGAGTCCCAAAGTGAAGTCATCACGAGTGGAGACCTCGAGCAGACCATACTTGCGTAAAAGTTTCTGAAGCAAGATAGCACGAAGATCGCGGCGCGTTCCTGCGAGCTGCACCAATGTTGTCACAATTTCCCGCGGGCTCCCATTGACAGAACCATGCAGGGGCGCAGAAGGAAGCAGGTACTCGGCGACGAAGTCCAGAGCCAACAGCAGCCCATCGTTGGAGTGCAATGGCTGCATTGCCGTTGGGGCGAGGTCGGTTGCCATGGCTTGTGGAAAGCCTGGAGCAGCTTCAAAGTCCACTTCTTCATTCCGTCGGTACGTCGGGTTGGGAAGAGCGTCGTTGTCGAAGTGGAAGTGGGGAGACTTCGTCAGAAATGTGTCCTGCAACGACCATTTGAAGGTACTTGGACCAGCCTCCCATTTTGTGACCGCGTGATCATATTTTATGAAGAACACTAACCAGCCGATGGTCCGCCCTCGTTTTTATGACCCTGGCAAGCCATTCGATGGAGAGAATGCGCGGGCAAACAAACCTGCCCACATTGATTCAGGTTGGATGTCGCCCAATATTTGGGAGTCGGAAAGTGCGAGGGAGAGAGGGAGCGGCGTGGGTCGCTTAGGTATGCACTCTCAACACTTGATTCACTTTTTCCTCGCCTGGGGCCAAGGTGCAAGGCCATGGCAGCGCTAGCATGACTTTTGAACATGATGAGGCGCGTCCTTGATGAGAGTCCAAGGCGACAGAGTTCTGGCCAAACAGCAACCAGGGCCAGAATGACGTGGCCAAGTTCTGATTGTGTGACACAACAAGTGCAAGTGCACATGTTCCACCATGGACTGCAAGCCCTGTCGCCTCCCAATCAATTCCTGCTGCAAACGGCGCACCCTCAAGCATGATTGACACAACCATGGCACACTGTTCAGCGTCAGCAAGTTACAAGATGAGCCAGTGTGGGTCCAACCACACTGGGGCCCCAAAACCACCAGCATAGACGTCAAATCCCACCATGCACTCCTGATGGCTGCTTCCATGATCACAGTAAACTGGCCAGCGTCATGACACGCCCCTAGCTTGGTGAGCCAGTCAACAGCCTTGTTCCTAAGGTCACCTGAATGGCCCTTGACCCAGGTGAACTTGAAGTCAATGCCATGCACCAACTTGGCAAGTTGGAGCACAGACTACAGATCCATTTTCATTGCACAAACCAGCTGATGCACTGTCAGACCTGGTGATCCATGCATCTGCACCACTGCCCCATCAATTGCTGCACATGAATCAAGCTGCACATTGAGTCGCATTGTGGGGACACAAATGGCTTCAGGGGCAAGATGCTAACACAAAACAAGCAGAGGAGAAGGGTGGGGGAAGCCCAGGCTCAGCAAGAGGCACAGGTGATCATGAGTGTCCTGTTTTGCTGCAGAGCTAGCAGTGCACAAACGGCCTGGAGGCAGGAGCAAACCAAGAAGGAATGCCACAGATAGCTCACAAAAGCGTCTCCACCCATCAAACCCTCCTGCAAATTGTTCCCTGGTGCACTGATCATGCAGGACGATGTGGTCCATCGTGCTCGCTTCATGCAAAGGCATGCACATTGCAGTCGTACTTCAAATGTCACACCAACAGAAAGCGATAACAGGCCTGCATGTACCTGTCATTAGAGGGGACAGCTGTTTCACACATGGGACCTGGGCAGGCAGCACTTGTTGCACGCCCTCAAAACCCAGTCAAAATGTGCGCATTGATGATGGCTGTGACAAAACTCTGAGCGACAGGGATGAAACACGTCAGCAGGTAGTTCTCTTTCAGTGGGGCAGGGCAGGCATGTGCAAAGGTCACCCACCTGTGGGCCACTGGCTCTTTTGAACTCACACCACAATGTGCCTGCTGTCACTCAGGGGAACACAACAAACAGCAGAGAGGCCTTGGCCCTGAGCAGCACGCACAATGGTGACAGTGGCAGCCATGAACCATTTCCATGTGCCAGCCTTCACACACACAACAGCATTGTGGGGCACATGCGCCACCACCTGCCATGCTGCTGAGGCAGAGAAAGAGTGAACAGGAATGACAACAATGGCATGGTGGACAACAGCGGCTGCCATTGGCTTGGCCCAAAGTGAAGGGGAGGGGAGGAGAAGGAAACCCCTGCATCAGTGACTGCTGGTTGGGCTTGCACACAACCACATCATGCACCTGTGGACAGTGGTCCATCATGCTGGTCCTGGCATGGGACCAGGACAAGGTGCACCAGCTTCAGCAATGCCATGCTTCAGCAGGTGTGATCAACTTGCATGGAAGAATGGGGGCCAGTTCCCATTGTTGTGGCCAAGTGCAGCAAGGTGGCAGAGAATGGTGACAAGGACGGGAAGGTGGAAGCACACAATGTTGCATGTCAATGACAGTGGTCCTGATGAAGAGAGGTCTGGAGGCGGTTGTGACAGGCTGCAAACAGCAGCCTGAGGTCGTGGCATATTTACACGGGCAGAAGCACAACAGGAGGTGTGTAAGAAAATGAAAGGAAAAGGGTCATGCCTGCCAAGGAGGCCCACACACGTGTTTTAACCCTCAGATCACCACCTGAACCCTAGAACACAGGCCACAGTCAACCTATGAAATCACCCCCAAGAACGTCAGCGGTGGGGACCGAACCCACAACCACCGCAAACAAATTGGGCGACTATTAATCACTTGGCCATTTAAAACGTCACGACAGCATGGTGTAGAGATAGGTTGCATTTGCAGAGCAACTCTTTGTGCTGCAGTACGACAAAATTGCTGCTAGGAAGCACCAATATGCGAAAACGCCTTGCCACAGGCCCCCGAGCGGTGGTGGCTCGTAAAAACAAAACCCGTCCAACCCGTCACCCGCTCGACGACGACTGAAACTCTACGAGAACGCACGGAGCGGCCCTGGCGGGGGGATCCTAATTTGAGGAGGCTGCCCCCGACGACAGCGTGGTGTAGTTGGTTTATCACACCTGATTCACACACAGGAGGACCTCAGTTCGAACCTGGGCGCTGGCAGAATCGGATCCATCACTGCTCGAAGCCCATGGCTTCGGCATTTTTCGTTGTTTTTGGGTGAGCCACCAAGCCGTTTTGTACGTTTTGTTCAAAGTGGTTGCCGTTTTGACGCCGCTTCCGCGCCCCGCAGATCCAACAACTCTCCGCGCACGAAAGCACCCGCAATGGACGACGACGTGCCCGTGCAATGTCTTGGTTATGATGTGACGCCTGTGGTACAGACAAGCAGCCGGACCATGACTTACGAACCCAAGCGACAAGGCTGATCGACGACAACGCGCGGTCCCTCCACTTCCTCGCGCGTGTTCTAGGACAGGCCCTGGTCTCGACACCGGCGCCGCTCTACTCGGTCGCCGTCACGCGCAACTGGAAATGGGCGTTGACGGGCGCCAGTGATGGCCGCATCACCAAGTGGGATATTTACGGCACCCTAAACGGCAAGACGACGCTGACGCAGACACAAAAGAGCGGGCTCGTCGATACGGTCAACAAGGTACGCGACGGTGGTCGTTCTGTGGCCACGCGCTTGACATTGCGCCTGACTCTTGGTTTGGATCTGTAGGGCGGCCACTTGCTCAGCTTCTGGTACCACGAGGAAACGCCCGAATAGACCGCGCACTGGAACACGGCGCGCGCGACGACGGTCCCCACCGGCGCCGGGTCGGCCAGCGGCGGTAGCAAACCCGGCACGCCGCGGCCCGTCCCACTCGCCAGCGGCAGCGTGAGCGCTGCTGCGTCGCCCTCAGTTGGTACCGGCTCGAGCAATACCAAGAAATCATCCGCAGCTGCCGCGGCCGCAGCACCCGCACCGGACCTCTCGCCCGTCTCCGCGATCGCCGTGCACTCTGAGGCGCAATGGGCGCTCGCCGGGTCGCGTCGCGGCGGGATCATGCTCTACTCGGTGCGGCACGACGAGGGCAGTGTCGTGGCCACGCTCTGCAGCCACCGCGACGTGGTTTCGGTCCTCACGCTTGCGAACGACGACATGACGGTCCTCTCCGGCAGCTGGGACTCGAAAATGGTGCACTGGGACCTGAATTTGGGCATGCCGATTCGGATCTACGCGGGCCACATTGCACAAATCTCGAGCGCGCAGTGGCACCCGACGCAGCCGTACATGTTCTTGGCGAGTGCCGTGAACGGCCGGTGTGGGCAGTGGGATACGCGCGTGCCGGGCGACCTGCCGGTAGTCAAGTTCCCGTTGCCGGAAAAGACGCCGCCGTGGATTCTATCGGTTTGCTTTTCCGAACTTTGCGCACGCACGTTCCCGCCCGCTTTGAAGACTGACCGTTCCCCGCACGTGTGATAGTCGTGCTTCAACCCAATCTTGGGCCACGTCTACATTGGCCGCCGCAACCACACCGTCGACGTGTACGAGCGCGACGGAGGGCTATTGCGCACGCTTACGCTGCCACGTAATTCCGGGCCCGTCTCCAAAGTGCTGTGCATGGAAAACGGCCGATCGCTCATGATCGGGTCGTCCGACAACGTGCGGCAGTGGGACTTGGAGCACACTGGAAATGCCGTGCCGTTCACGATCATTCCGGGCCACCATGGCGGGAATTTGTCGGAAATGCGTACGTTGTTTGATCTCAGCTCGTTCGTTTGGAATCGAGGATCCTCGACTAACGGGCGCGCACCCACCACCTTCCCCGACTTTGCGTCAAATGCTAGTGGTCAACCCCGACTGCCGGTTCATGATCACGGCTAGCGGCTCGCGCGGGTGGGACTCCGCGGGCAAGGACACAGCGCAGTGTCTGATTTACACGGTTTCGTCCGTCTTCTGATCGGTTTTCGATTGGGGGGCAAAAGGCAAACATGAAAGAGCAATGGCGCGCCATGTTCTATTCCAATGTTGTTTGTTGTTGTATCGTTCCCATTTTTTGGATCAGCACCAAAAACACACACGCAAAAAGTGCAAAAAACAAGGCGGTCGCAGCGAGAGGAAAATTAATGGCGTCCAAGAAAGCAAAAAGGATCAAAAACGACTACAGGAGGGTACGGACAAATCATGAAAGCCAGGGGTACAACGAGACTTCCGGGGTGGTGAAGGAGGAGTATAGCAAGCTGCAAGCCGGAAAGCAAAAGCGAGATAAAGAAAAACATAGAAATGAAGCGCGAGCGTCTCAGGGCTGGACCGGCAACCCCCTCACTCGCGGAACACGGTTTGGATCTTCTCATCGGCGAGATAGAGCCGCTGCCAGACAATGGCGCGCACGCGCGCATACGCGACCGTCGACCCCTTCGTGCGGTGCATGGCGACGGCATGCACACCCTTGATACTCGGCAGCGTGAAGATCTCAATCGTAAACACGAGGTCCGACTTGAACGTCATACTGCGCAGTTTGCGCAACATGGGCGATTTCGGCACCTTGTGCGTCGACGGGCCCGCCAAGGCCGCCGAAAGAACGGGTGTGCCGGCCACGGCCGATGTGGCCGCCATGGTCGGGATCGGCGAGTAGTAGGCCGAATAGTGCAGCGAGGTCGGACGCACCGTGCCGTCGAGGAACATGCGGTTCGCGGCCTCGGCCGCGTGTGGGACGCCCGACAGGAGCACACGCTCGACGGTTGTGGTTGACGGCGCCGACACGGGGGGACCCGGCAGTGGGAGCGGTGGCATGCCCGCCAGCACGCGACCGTGGTCAATCGAGTTGTTGCGCGACACGGGTCGTGGTGATGGGCGCGTCGACGAGCGCGTATTACTGCGCAACAGCGACCCGGCCGCGGCACCAACAAGCATGGGTGAAGGCGCGGGGATGCCACTCTCAGCGGCAAGCGATTGCGCGCGCGATGCGGGCCGCTCCGGGACCGCGCCGGCACCTGCCAGAACGGGCGTTGCCGCGCGACCCGGGTGCCCGCGAGCCGCGATCGCGGGTGATGACGACGGCAAGGGCGGGTAGTTGGACGGCAGCATCACAGGACTGTCGTGGCCCTGCGGCGGCGCCGTCGAGTAGGCCGAGCGCACAGAAATACAGTCGAGCCAGTCGGTCGTCGAGTTGTGCCGCTGGTGCTTGGTTTGCCGCGAATTTGGCGAGCGCATCGCGTGCTGCTGCGGCGGCGACATTGTCGACATGGCCGGTGTCGCATCGAGCGGCGCGAGCATTGGCGTCACCTCGGGTGCAGCAAAGACCTCTTGCTGCTGCTGTTGTTGTTGCTGCGCGTGGACAAGGTGCAGCGTCTCGAGCTCGGCCTTGAGCCTGGCTTTGGTCAGTCGCCGGTGCTTGAGCTTCAATCGACACTTGAGCATGAACCGCCCCTCGCCGTGTCCCGGCACGCCCGTCGACAGGTTATACTCGTGCCCGACAATCACGGCACCGAGCCCTTCGAGCACCTTGCGTGCCTCAAACAATGCCAGTTCTGGCGACCGCATCGTGAATGCCTCGGCCGGCAGTTTTGCGAGCGCCGACTCGTGAATCGCGCGCGGGAGCACGTCGCGGAAATAGGCGTCCGACAACGGCGGTGTCGGAGCGCCCTCGGCATTCGACGACATGGACGACCGGTCATTGTTCCCAAACCGCTTCCCCGCGAACCGCTTACCCTTGAGCAGCAGCCGCTCGTGCGCCTTGAGCTTGACGACGCTGGGCGTCGGGGACGGCGCCGCCGAGCTTGATGCACTCGCATTTGGTCCCGCTGCTGGCGACATGCCGCGCACCAGAATGGGCGACGCGGTCATGTCCGCATACGCCGAGACGTACGGGTGGCCCGCGACGGGGGCCCCCATCGGCAACGGCGGCAACGGCGGGATTTCCGTCTTCTCGTAGACCGAGTCGTGCATCGACAGTGACCGCCGACGCAAATGTTCGAGCACCGACGTGCCCGTCGACCGCGTACGTGGGCGGCCACGCGATACACCGGGTGACGCGGCCGGCGACTGGCCCGGACGCGGCATACTCGCCTCGACGGACAACGCGCGCTTCTTGATCTTCTTGTCCTTCTGGCTCTTGCGGCGCAGGATTTTGGTGGGCAGCTTCTCTTTTTCCTTCTTCTGTTTCGGTTCCGGTGCCGCGGGCGCGAGTTCGTTGCGAGCCGCCAGCGACGAGACGGTCGCTGTCGACTCGCGCCGCTTGGCGAGTTTCGCGCGCCACTTGTCGACCAGATCAAACTTGAAAAACGAGGCGATACTGCTCGACGCCGATCGCGACGGCGTAATCGACGAGGCAGCGCCAGTGGGTGCGACCGAGGGTGGGACGGGCGGGAGCGGCGGCTCGTAAGTAATCGGTCGGCCAGTTTTCGGTGGTGGCTGGTTAACCATGTCGGACGCAATGAACCCGGCGAGCGACGAGGGTGGTGGTGGGAGCGGCAATGCCGGTGACGGCGTCACAGCGGGTACGCCGAAGATGGCCGCTGGGTGCGGCACGATATCCGGGTCCGGAAGCGGGACGACCGGCGGGGTCGCGACCGATACGGGACGGGGCGAGTTGGATACCGGTGCGCGCGGGAGAACCGGGAGCATCAGCGGCTGCCGCGTCGTGGGCAGGATCGCGGTCGGGGTTGACCGTGCTGCTGCGGGCGAGGGCGATGCCGCGACCGGGTCCGTGCGTGCGGGGCTCGGTGGCAGCGTCACGACTGGAAGCGCGGCCTCGGCAGCAGGGATTGCGGTTGGTGTGCTGCGCCCCGACCCGGACATGCCATCGCTTGCAGGTGCGCGCTGGCCGGTCGATTTGGGCGACGGGTAGTAGGCCTTGGCCGCATCGGCCGCGGTAGCCTTGGCAGGCTCGACGCGCGCCGTGTGCGCGTCCGACCCGCTCGTCGTAGCCTCGGGCTTGGCCGGTGAACCAGCCGGGTCCACGGCCATGCCCTTAACGTCGTCGTCGTCGTGCGCGTCTCGGCCATTGACGGCAGCGGCCAAGATTGATGCGGCCGACGGGGCCACAACGAGCGACGGCGCGTGCACGGACCCGCTACCGACGGCGATCATGGACGTGCGCACCGACGTGCCGTTTTCGAGATGGTGGTGCGGCGGTGGAACCTCGCCGGGCGAAAGGAACAAGTGCCGGAAT